AAGCACAGAAAATAAATCTAGTGTTACAGTAAATTTATCCAGTAACTTTTCTAGAAAGAAAACTTTTGCTTGAAGTGTTGTCACATGGATGTTGATAAGGTGCCCATGGAGTCAGTTAATGCTCTGGGAGTGCTCATCAGCCATCTGTTCAGTGACTTCCAAGCATCTTGGAAGGAGAAAGGTCTGTTCAGTGCTTAAGACAGCTTTGCTCAGAAAGCCATATGCAACAAGGATATTAAAGCACAAAAAACTCCCAAGAAGCCCAGTGAAAGCTAGTGGGCTTTCACCCATTAAAAGTGAAAGTGTGACAAGTGATGTGGAGGGATGTTGACTCACCCTGAATGTTGCTTTAGATTAAAAGGCTTTGTGTTGCTGTTGAGTTCCTCCCTGCAGCACACGCCATCACTGCAGAAATCAAACTGTTCCCAGGCTTCACTTTAATTATCCATACACATCTGCCACAGAGCTGAACATTGTTAAAAATCCTGTGACTTAGCAATAGCTATGTTAGTTACTTATGATTCTACAAGATACGAAGAACTTCTCCAGAAAACAATGCAAAATAGTGAGAATAATGAAGATGGAAATGAAGCAAAAATCATCCCCATGGGAGCAGACTAAAACCAAGGGCTGGTTTTGTATTACTGACTTTACAGAATTTGCCAAAAACCCGAAAAGGAAACTAATCAAAACTCTGTCTTGCAAATGCTCTAAGTCCTGCCTGATAAGCTGCTTTTAGAAAACTAAACTTTTCAACAGTAAATCCTTGCTGAAGTGTAAAGCACATGATATCTGTAAGAATATTTTACAACAAAAGCATACTTAAATTTGGCTATAAGAGGAAATAGATACAATGAGTGTGATGTGATTTGTCTTTTGTTACAGGATATCTTCATCAAAAAGGAGAAGTACAGTAAACTGAAGCTGGAATTTGCCTTGATCTGAAAAAAAAAAAAAAAAAAAAGAAAAGAAAAAAGTTTTTCTTCCTGCTACATTTGAATCCAAAATTTGTTTTCAGTTCACAGTGTTTTTTAGTTAAGTTACAACATAGAAACTATCACAGCTCTGATTTCCAGGGAAGCTCATTTTGGAAGGTGGTAAATACAACTTAAAAAGCAATCTCAAAAATAATTTTTGTAACACTGCTTTATGAGAAACTGTAAGTCTGGTTTTTAGAAGACATAGGGTTGTTACTGTACCTCGGCTTATTTTTTTGAAATTAAACAATTAAAATGTTCATATGTGTTGGCCACCAGCTGCTGTACCTTATTACAGTTTAAATAGCCAACATGGAATAAGGTATCATTCTCAAAGCTAATTTTGCAGAAGCATATGAGGTTATGTATTTTTATTGTTGTACACCATGTAACCACAGTGTTTTCCTGCTAGCACCTGGCTGAATGGTGGTGGTTGCTCTTTAACAAAAGCCAGTAATGCCACTCTCATTCCCAAAACTGATGCAGACCTGTACTGGCTGTCTTTACAAGGAGTGTTAATAAAAAAGATAAAGGAATCTTCAAGAAATAGACTACAGCTTGTGTGGTGAGGTTACCAGACAAGGTAGGGGTGGCTGTAAGGCACAGGGGTGAGCCAAAAGCCACTCATGGTAAGAACAAACTGCATTAAATAATCTAAGTGGACTTATGCTATTTCAAATTTTAGACATGTATGTGGATACGGAGGTGAGAGGTGTTCATATGTAAATGTACAAAATATTTTCAGTTACTCAAGTTTTTATGAAGATATCGCAAGTTGGACAGCAGGGAGCTGGGAGCGTGGGGAGGGAGAAGCAGAAACCTGGAAGTGGAATGGGATTGTAAAAGCTTATCCAGTATATGTTTCCGTTTGGATGTGAGTTATCAGAAGGCTGGGCAGTATTAGTATTGTATTAGTACTCAAAATAAGTTGAAAGCTGCATTTTTTTGGAGAACAAATTTGAGCCCTGTTGATAAATCAGTATCTGCATATGAACTGTTGCCAGTCTGCTGGCAGCTGTCATTCAGGTGGGATCCTGCTCTCCCTGGTGGGGAGTGCTCACATGGTATGTAAGGAGCACCAGAAATTCAAGGGAAAATGTGGTGTGAAGTGAGGTCAAACTAAATGAAAGTCCACTTCTCATTGTCCTGTAGATGTGGCTGCACACAGCCAACACTGCTGAGTGGACACTGAATATACATTATTAAGGTATATTTTTCTGCCAAGATTTTTAAAGCTCAGTTTTCTACATGCAGGGGATTTGCTCCTGTACTCATGCAGAGTACTATTTAAAAGTGAAAATTAGAAGGAGGATTGCAGCATGCCCAAGAAAGTACATTTGGCTTCTATGTCTCTTCATCTGAACTTTCATTTTCTCTTGCAGTGTGCTACATATGCAATATTCTCTTGAATTCTTGAATTTACAGCATTTGTTGCATGTGTTTAAATACTGGTGATAATTCTGGATGCTTGGTACACAACAATTATCCATGATCAGTCTTACATTGAATAACTGATAATGCTATATATTCTATAAAAGTCAGTTTTGTTTACATTGGGAAAAGGATATTTAGTTCAGTTGTGAGTGTAGATCTTATGTGAGACAATATTAAAATTGTCAAGAAACATGTAAAAGAGGTAATGTAAAGTTCCTTTATGGAACTAGGTCTTTGCCCCTTTAGTCTAGCACCTAATCTGTGACAGAGGTGAGAGTTTATGTAATTTTACATGAGGTCAAGGTGTAGCAGATGAAATTAAATCAGAAGAATGGATTTTACTATTAGTCCCAAGGTTTGTTACCTTTAAGGATGGTTGCTTCTATAACATCCTTTTGAACACATATGGATCTCAATTTTTTTTTTCCCCCTTTGGATTTTTTACTTCTCTGGCATCCCATATCTGTTAGTTTTCTTAACATAATTTCATGCTGTGTGAATAAATATTGCCTTTTATTTCTTGAGTGTAGATGTTGTCATTTGTATGTTGCAGTCTGTGCCCATAATCACCAAGCTAAATATAGGTTTATATTATCTTTGTTTAAATGAATAATTGATTTTTTTTTTAATTGAGGGACTTCTTAAAAAAATCTTGACTTGATGTATATGACATTGTTTATTTGATTTTTAGACACTTATATTTTTAATTGATAGTAAAATTTTTATGGTATCTCCAGCATAACTTATTTTTAGGTGGAGATAGTAAATAAATATAGAAAAAAGACCTTTCCATTTAATCAGGAGTAATTTTTCATGACAGTAAGTTATGGGAGATGCACCAGTATCAATGGGTAAGGAGTATTTCCTCTACCAGTATTTTTTGAACAACCAATCACGGTAGTAAGTTGATTTGGGCAAGTTTCTAGTCTTATCTTTAGCTCAGAGAGGAAAGTACTTTTTAGTTTTCACTCTTATTAACAGTACAGAAGAATAGTGGGTAATAAAAAGGTAGCCATCTGCCATCCAATAAGTTATTAAATAAGTTTCTGCTACAGAATCCTTAATACTGAAACTGATTAAAGAAAGTGATGTACAAGTCAGATCTATCAAGGATGGCTGTTATCTCAGCTTGAGTTTGCAGATGGAAAGAAATCTGTCCACTTGTTAATAAAGAAGTTTTTATCCTGGCACTCTAGAGTCAGTAAACATAAAACTTTCCAGGATTATTTTTTTTCAATAGACCTTTTTTTAAAATAAAGCACATCAGCATTACTAAGTAGCCAGTATTTCACTACAAATGGCTCAAGTGCTTTTATACTGCAAGATATCTCAGTCAAAATTAATTATGTATCAGGGCAGAAAAAATTACCTCATTATCACTGAATTCTACAAATCTTAAATATATGTTCAAATATAATTCCTGTTGTGATTTTTCTGTAGAAAGATACTATGCTAATGCTCTCATAATTTTTAATTTTCTTTTTAGACTTACTTTAGAAAAAGAAATAATGAAGTCAGTACTACTCTTTCAGCTGAATTAATTTTTTGAATGAAAGAGCAGACCTCCTATTAGATATCTCACTTTAAGCGCCATTTCTGTTTCTGACAAAACAAATGAACTCTGTTATTCGCTTTTAATCTTACCTAGGAAGGTCCACAGACTATTTTTTTTAACTTGCTATTAAAGTGAGAATGAGTTTTTTTAATGAAAGCTATGTTGAAAGCTGGTATTTTAAAAAATATAAGCTAATATCCTTTGTAAGGCTTCTTTTTATTTAATACTTTGTAAAGATTTTTACCATTGTACCGCATAAGATAGGAACAGTGTTTTCAATGAGTGTTTCAAACCATTTCCTTTTATGAAAAAGACATATCTGGAGTTTTAAACATTTGTAAGCTACAAGAGTTGAAATTTAGGAAAGTCACTGAAGCAAGTTATCAATCACTTAATAACTAAGGAAAAGGAGCTAACTACTTGTGTAAAAGAGGTAGTCATGCATGACTTCTTGCTAAGACCAAAACCAGGACAATATCAAAATAAGCAATACTCTTGAGACTTGGCCACCTTATCTAGACTAATGAAACAGTTATTTTTCTTCAGGCTTTTCTTCTAAAAAAATCTCTTGTATTATTAGGTTTTGTTGATGGGATGTTCTGAATGCTTCTTCCTAAAGGTGCGACTGCATTTGACACATCAATACCAGGTCATTTGGTGTCTTATCCAATGTCCACCAAGACATTTGGAAATCCTTTTGATTAGTTCTTTTAATTTCAACCTAATCCCATGCTGTTTGTTAAGTATGGCAATGATCTCAATAGCTCCACTTGCATACATATATATATGTGTATATATATATATATGTATGTATGTATGTATGTATATATATATGTATGTATATATATTTCTATCTATTTTTCTTAGAAATTATCCCTCGTGTTTTGTGTTTTCACCCCTTGTGTGTAGAGAATTTTCATATCTATCAATATTATCTGCAGACCTGAATGAGAATGGGAGCGTAGACACCACTTAGCCTCCATTCTTTGTGCATCAGAAAAAAAACTGCTAACATTATTTTTTGTTTATTTCAGGTTTCTTTTCTCCATGGAAAACTCCAAAGCCTGTAAGTTCCCTTTCAAAATTGTATGCATTGAGTTCATAAGATGGCTGTCATGCAAAGCAAATTTCTGTAGACTTTCATCTGCCCATCCCGTTCCCAGCTCGTGGGACACCTCTCAGCAGTGCCCCAGCTAGCTCCAAGTGACACAGCACCAGGGCTGGCCTCCCTGATAAGCTCTGTTGACTCAGAGTCTGCCAGAAATGGTCTGGAAAAAGGAAAACCATCATGTTAAGATAGGTGGCATGAACCAGAAATGTAGTGGCTTAAAAATAAGAGGTCTGGAGGAGAAGACAGCAGAAATGAGTCCAGTCTAGTCTTCTAGCTGGCAAATTCTTTGTACTTAACAACATGCATTTTTTCTGGTTTATTGTTATTCTTTCTTACATTAGGAGATGTAGAGCTGCAATAGTCACACTTCAAATAAGATCTTGGGCAAGATAACTGAGGTGCCTTTTAATCTACTTTCCTCTGTTTCTGTGATTTTGACAGTAAAACCCAAGGTGTAAAGACTTCCCACTCTAAGACTGGAAGCAATGACTGTGTTTATACTGCTGACACCACATTATATAATATTTTGAATTTGTGACAACATTCATAGTATAAAAAGAATTCATGAGCTACTATTTTTGGGTGTCTGGATTGTTTTATTGTTAGACGGGATTGTTTTGTCTTTGTTTTTTTTTTTTTTTTTATTTGGCTTTTTAATTGACATTTTACAGACAGAGTAATTCTTAATTCTCTACAAGGGTGTGTAGAGGAAATAGATCCTGAAGATTCCTAAGAGCAATGGGAATAACAATAGCAATACTTTTTAAAGGTCTTAGAGCCTTCTTACTGGGGAGCAGGTAGAGGAAGTGCATTTCATCTGAACAACTTTACATATTCTCATATTGGAACATGGCACGCTTACATTTTGCCAAAATAATTTTTCTACCCTGTCAAGTACAAATAGCAATTAATCAGCTGATGCAACTTTGTCAGACTGCTTCAGCTTATGGTGGTTTTGCTGTAAAAGGTTAGTCTGTATACAATATATTGGAATAAGTATTGCAAAAGTTGCTTTGTTTATCTATGTAGCAGGACACTTGTGAGACTAAATCAGATTATTAAAGGCTGGCTTGCTCTCACCAGTTTAAGAATCCTGAAAGTCTGGGTTGTTCAACTTTTAATCTCAGATAAAAAGTGAGGAAATAGATAGCTTGGTGTTAAAGATCCATATTTGAAGACCTCCTCCTGTCCATACTTAGCCTTTTATGTACACATCAAATATATAAATATCAGTGTATTTATTATTATTTTCTGCAACATTTCATTATATGAGCAGTATGGTAGTTCATGTTCAATGAACTTGCCAATAATCAAGAGCCAGAAAAACAGCCTGAGTTGATGCAGTTTTTCATGCAATGATGTGAGGAAAACCAGGGCTCGCAGAATAATATAGCACCATTTGTGCTGTACCTGCAGGCAGACTGAAGGCTCACAGATACTCTATTTTGGAGTAATCTCAGCAAGACATTTCACTAATGATTAACCAAGTTAAAATAATGTGAATGCCTCTATTTGTCACCACTTTTAACTAGATAAATAGTCAGACATAAATTTCTCATGTCCAAGGCCTGAAGATAAGATTGAAACCAAGGTTTAGAAAGCCTCCCCAACACCTCAGCACAGCCTCTATCTGTGTGACTGCAAAGGAAAACAAAGTAACCTGGGGTAACAGATCTTTCCAATGTATATCATGTATATCTTATATATGTATATCATGTATAATATTAGTGCAAAATGACCATGAGCAATGTCACCAAACCATTGCCCCAATTTGGATTTGATGCCCTGCACTCACTACTGTCCTTACTTTCAAGAGTGCTTTCTTTTCTGATAACTTCCATTACTGAAAACTAGTCAACTGTTTAATTAGTTGCTGTGGGTTTGGGAGATATAATTCCCCTTCTGTTTATCTGCTTATTTAGCTGATTGAATTTAACACTTGAAGATTTAGAGCTAACCAGCAAGCAAGAGTTAGACATATGAGAGGGATGCAGTAGGGTTTTGTCAATTGATCTTCAGTTTCCTGTCCTTTCTCCAGGGTAAAGTTTGCTCATCAAAGATAATTATATTTTCCTTTCTTTTTTTAAATCTTTCTTTGAGTATTTTAATTTTGTCTGGTTTCGCATTTTGAAAGAGGTAAGTGATCTATTTCCCCAGCACTTTCCAAGAAATTAGGAATCTTTCACTTCTAGACAAACATGTCCTGGCATGTCTTTCATCTTCATAATGATAAGATAGTTTGGTTTCACTGGCTTGTGCTCTTCTTTTAGATTCCTAAGGGAAGGTAAAGCCTATAGATATTTTTCTGGTAATTTCCTTCATCATAAGGAGCTTGAATTGAGACTAGTTCTTCTTTCCTATTTAGACATAGGGGTCATAATCAGGTGTGTTTCTAGAGAACTTTGAATTTACAGTTCCATAATGCAATTATATAATGTATGTGTGTTTGTAGCTACTGGAGGTAATTTCTCTAGGGCTGTCAGAAGTAGTGCTGTGCTGTTCATGTGACTTACCACACAGGCTAATTTACCTAAAGGACTATTATTTGCAGAAGATAAATTTATCTTGGTGCAAGGAGTGCCTGAAGGTACCCAAGGTAAATTCCTGAGCTATTTCAATGGCAACTCAGGTATTTCCATATCCCATTGTATTGCACAGAATGTATATACTTATAGTTTTGAATGAACCAGCCCTACTTACTGCTGAAATTCTGACAGGAACACATCTTGAGTTATAATAATACTTTGTAAAATAATTAGGCCAATATCTATAATCAATTTTTCTTAAGAGCCTAAGAAGGTCAGATCACCTGGGATATGCAGCAGGATAGTTATTCAGCATATTCACCAGGAGGACACTAAAACATCTATAGTCCACACATACCTGGTGTGAAAAAAGCCTGATGCAATTAATCATCAGAACAGAGAGTAAAGCCTACCTGCTGACCCAAACACCTTCTGAAACCAAGGAACTAAAGACAAACGAGAGTCACAGAATTTGTAGAGCAAGCTCACTGTTAACCTGCAATCATCTTTGATAAAGCTTCACTGATACAACAATATAAGTCAGTGGAATTTAATTACAGATCAGTTTGTTTCCAAGAGGCATTTTTTTCTGTAATTGACATTGTTGGGTTCTGTGTGAGAATACACTGTTCCAGAGGCTTTACCACCCTTGTCCTCAGGAGGGGTTATAGGAATAGCTAAGTACTCATTTCCTGAGATAAACATTTGTGTTTTGTTTAATTTAGGCTCTTCAAAGAAATTTGCTAATGCAATTTGATTAGTAGCCAACTTCTTCAAAAAATAAAAAAGCAGATCCTCAAGCCTTCTTTTGCACAGCCTATTATATCTTCAAGCTTGATGTACATGTAAGACTGCTAAAGACAGTCTTGAAGAAAGTGTGAACTGAGGTGTCTTTCATGCATAGACAATAGGCTGTTGTAGACTTTCCTGTAAATGGCCTGGAAGAGTTGAAAGCCTTATCCTGTGCTTGGTTGTGTAATGCCACTTTAGTGGGTTTTTTGGAACACTAGATGGTTGAATACGTGCTGTAATAATTTTCTCTTAGGTTTTGATTTGTTTTGATTTTCTTTTGATTTTGGTTTTTTTTTTTTTAATCTTCAGCTGGAGCTGTAAATTCTGCTCCCAATTACAGTTATCTCATTCTCCCTGGGCAGATAGTTATTTTCATGTATTCTCAGAAAATACAGCATTGAGGTCATTCACTTGCTACACAGTCTGTCCCTTCTTTGTTAAGCACTACCTTCATGTATGTTATGTATTTTGACTAATCTAATAATTGTGTCTTTACAAACTCACAGATTCTACCTTTAGCAATTTCTACTTTTAGCAAATAATTTCCAGTAGCTCAGCACATTCTGTAAGAGGCACTCCACATGCTTCAGAGGTAATGCTGGGCATAATCTTACCTGAGAAAGGTTGCATCTTGCCATAAGCAGCAAATTAAGGAGTAAATTTAACCAAGTCACTTTATAAACAGCACAAGACACACCTTTCATTCAAAAGGGAGCAAATAGATTTAATAATTTTACAAAACACATCCTCAACAAAAATCACTGCCTTTGGTCTCATTGAGGAAGCCACAGTTTTTGCAAAACTTCATTTTTATTCTCTCTATGTTTTTATTCCAGATGATGGAACGATGGGAGAATCAAGGCAGCCCTCAAACAAGTGTGTCTGCTCCAGCTATGCCACAGAATATTCCCTATCCACCCACTCTTCACAGGAGTTCATTTCCTGATTCAACAGAGGCCTTTGATCCACGAAAACCTGACCCATATGAGCTGTATGAGAAATCAAGAGCTATTTATGAAAGTAGGCGTAAGTGAAAGCTCTCTTAACCCTGCTGGCTATTTAGTATTTGAAATTTTGCCTTTGAATGTGTCACTGTTTACATGATTTTCTGTAATTATCTTTTGTAGTTTAAAGAAACTACATTTCTTTCCAGTAAATAGAGGCTATTGTAAATGTTTCAAAAATTGTACACTTGCATATTTTCTTAATCTTACCTAGATTCTCATATTTGACTTTCATAGGTGTTTTTTCCGTATATTTTTAATCTTCCCAGTTTGACTGTTATGTCCTTGGTGAAGCACAGTATATGTCCCACCACATTTTACTGTGGTTTTTTTCCTTTATAGTCAACCAAAAGGAAGATGGGAATTTATCAATGAGAAAAAAAAGAGTTTCACCTACTTTCACTTCAAAGTGACATTTTTTAAAAGAAATTTCAAATGTATTTGTTTTTATAAAATGTCTTAAATAAGTTTTCACATTGCCCTTGGAAGTTAGAAAGTAACCCATAGCATGAAGTACTATTTGAAGGCCTATACAAAACAGTACTGACCCATTGAGATGCTCATCTTGATTTAATTTCTCATGTTTTTGAAAATATAGCCCATATTTTTGACAGTAAGAATAAAAGGGCTTAGACTTATTTACACTTTTTGTAAAGAACATTTTAGCTAAAAATATTGTTCTAAATTGTCTTCAGCATTTGCACTTAAGATAAAATTTTTAAATTATTTTTTAATTTACATTTTTACTGAAAGCTTCCATTCCAAATCTTCCACTGCTATTGCTTGCATATGCTACTTTTCAATTCATTTTGTGGAACCCTTGAGCCTACAGACCAAAATATGCTAAAAATGACACATAAAATATTGGAGCTGATTCAGAGCAGTCCATTAATATTCATTAGGCCCAGAGACCTGGAATGTTCACATTTCTTCTGTATGCAAAGGGGTAGTCTGAAGGAAATACATTATGGTCCCCAACACTGGGTTAATGCCATTCTTACTGGCCTTGGCCTATACATCACTTGCAGCATCAGCATCTCCTCTTTGGCTTTGGTATTCCCAGTCCCCACAAGAATGGATATTCTGGAGGAACACCAGAGTTCATTTTACATCAACTCCAAGTAAAACCCGATCTATTCTCAAAGCTGCATGTCATATTCCTCAGTTCTTTGCCACTGTGCCCAGTGCCACCATCTTCTGCCACACTGATCCTATTAGGAGAACACTTTTCAATATAGATTGTCATCCTAAAACTCACTTTCCATAATACAGATTTTTTTTTTGAGGGAGACAGTTAATGTTTTATTTAACTCTATGTACTTAAATAAACTGCTGACTTCTTTGAGGAATATCAGGTATCTTACTCACCCTAAATATGGATTTGAGATCTTACTTAGACCCCTGTAAAAAAGTATTTACTCTTCAATTATAAACTGTTAGGGATAGAAACTAAACTTTCTAGTATATTTACAAACACCATGTAGTCCATGTTGGCTGGTATTCCCAAGACAATGTACAAAAAAGAGACTATAATTTTTGAAATTTTAAAACTCACTGAAGTACGGATCAGGATACTGTGTGGAGTAGGCCAGGTAGGTTTGAAAGAAGTAGGACTATTTTTGAGCAAAGATTGGAAATAGTTTTCAGGCATCTCCCCTCTTTCACTTTCTCTTAAGGCCTAGACTAGTATATAAATAAATAAAAACATTTGCTTGAACTGCAATATTATTCCCCAAAGTGATAGAATTGGGTATATGATAAATCAAAAGGAAAAGAATCCATTCCATAGTTAGAAATTATTTTATGTAGTTCAGAACCTCTACTGAAAAAAGTCTTGGCTTTGTATAGAGGTCTAACAAACAGAAAACCCTTTGCAAATAATCATTTCCCATATCAATTACTTTTAGAAGTTATGTAGTCTAACAAAAATCTTTCCACTCAACAGTCAGAACCATCTTCTGTAGTTAAAGTCATTAGGCCAAGAGTGCAGACTTCCTACATTGGAACAGATACCTTTGTGAGACAATTAAGAAAATATTATAAATGCCATATGGATATATGACATAAATATTTATATGGCATTTTCTTTCAGCCTGATCCCAAATCTACACTTGGTCCATGTGTGCCCTTCATGAAACTGTGGGAATATAGATCTGATGTCAACTACAAAGATTCACTTACCTGCCAGAAGTTTATATACTACATTACAGGATATATTACACCAATCAGTATTCATGGGTGCTTTCTTCAAGTTTTCTGAGTACTTCTTTGACCAGCATGAACTCTTGTCTTTTACTTATATGATCTACTGTGTTGTATATGCTTTACAATAGGAAGAGCATCTAAGCCTGTGTTTTAATGGTATAATTGCATTTGAGTTCTGCCCAAAAGGCAACTGGAAACTGCATGTGAGATGTTTTCAGCCAGCTGCCTAGAAAAACAAATAATTAAAAATAGTGAAGCTGCTAGGCCCACAATAAGAAAGAAATGAAAAGCAAGACTGCAGTAACTTTATCCTAGATTTTGATCAGTGTCCCATCTTTCAGCTAATCCTGGAAACTTAAATTTCTTATCTTCTTTCTCCACTATCCCCTCAACATTTTCTCTAAGATTTGATTCCACCAGTTTCCAACCAGGTCTTGTCTGCATTCATATCCCTTATTTATAAATAGCTGCCTCAGAAGATCTCTATTCTCCCTGACATTTTTTTTTTTCATGAATTCAATAAGTATACATTTTAGCAAATTTAATTTGTCAAGCCCTAGCACTACGTAGTTGTCCTGCTTCTTGAAGCTGGGAACAACAGGAAGGAAATCCATTACTGAGTCAAATAATTCTCATCTAACTTGAGTATATAGGAGGGAGAGTTTCAAGACAACACTGTTTCCTACCATATGGCAGTGTCAGGTTGGTAATCTTTGGGAAGAACATGCCCTAAAAGTGCACAGGAAAAGTTCAACTATTTTGGTTTTTTAAGTACTTATCTCAAAGCAAGTTTGTCTTATCTCCTGGCAAGACCTTCTTTTCATCTTCATCTTCTAAAAATATAGCAGAGAACTGAACAATCATGATCTGGAAAATTCAAAAATAAAGAGATAGTGCTAAATTTTTGTTTCTCTCACTGTGAGACTGTGTTATTAAACAGTTGATTTTTGTACTTCTATAGCTCTGAATTTCTACAGAGCCTTTATCATAGGGTTTCCTCACAGTCAACACTCACCAAGGCCTCATAAAAGCCTCCTGCTTCCCAATCAGAGAGGGAGTGAAGCAAGTTATGAAAAACAAGGTAGTTCAGTGAGGAGCACAAGGAACATGACTCAAAGCAGAGCAAGAATTAGACCAATGTGTTGCCTCTAGCTCATCCCTACCTAATGGTAGCAAGAACAGGGTTGCAAGCAGGAAGTCTCAATGAGAAAGTATGATTTTCATTCTACAGAAATGTTTTTCTACCTAAGGAACTTGAAGAACCTGAAAGATCCTGTGTGATGGGAAGATTTCAGTTTGTAATGGTTACATATGAATTGCAAAGCACTACCACTTCTGTATGGGAAATAGTTTCATAGAGGCAATCAAATGATGCATTAGTACAAAAACAGAGTGCAACTCTATTTTGGAAGTCATAGTACCTTTAAAAATTATTTGTCACAAGTCAGCTGTTACCTGTCAGCTCTTCTGTCTTAGATGTCACCCAGCTCTGCTGTCACCTATCACTTATGTTCAAAGCTCCAAGTAAATAAAAAAGGAGCATAAGGGGTTTCCACTGAGGAGGACTACCACATCATCTAAACAACTGCTTAAGAGCAAAGATGGGAAATTGGTTCATGCTTTCTTTCTTTACTTTGTCTCTCTGGTTTGGTTTGGGGTATTTTTGTTTGTTTGTTTGTTTGTTTTGGTTTTGGTTGGGTTTTGTTGGGGTTTCTTTTTGTTGTTTTGGGTTTCAGGTATTTTTTGTTTACTCTCTTCCCCCATCTCTTCTTATTTTTTCTGTATGATGAAGATACCTAACTTTCTGCTGTGACATAATTTTCTCAACTGGATACTTTTTAATTTATTCTGTTCTACTATTAATACAAAGCAAAACCTTTCTCTCCTTTTTTCTTATGGAAACTATTTGATTGTAAGTAGCAGTGTGACTCTCCTAATGACCAGTTTAGGTACAGAAGGTAGAAAATGGAATATCAGATCAAGAATTTCCAATTAATGAAAAAATTATGACTTCATATGCACCAGATTATTACAGCTGTAACTGGAGCCCTTGAGTTATCATTAGGAGACCTCATTCACCTGAATTTTATTTTTTTTATTTATAAATTCTCCTTATCGTGTCTTATATTTTATATTGAACTCTGTTTATTGTAAATCCACAGTTTATAAAAACTTTGTTCAGACATCCCCATAGGCAGACATTAGTCAACTAGGAGTCACAAAGCTGTTGGGAATCATAATGCCATAATATTTCTCTAGTTATAATACAAATTTGAGGTTATGTTCCTCTAAGGAAAGAGGCAAAATTTAACATTTTTTTATGTTGATTGGGTTACATTTGTCCTTCAGTTAGTGTGGTAGACAAGGCTGATTATGTGACACAGAAATGCCAGTAGGAAAAATGAGATAAGCCAGTGATAAGCTCTCATTAAAAGTGAAATCTGAACAATTACAGTTCTACCTTTAGCTGGAAGGACAAAGGTTACTTTCTTCAAAATCTCCCATGTTATTTTCTCCTCTGACAACAGTATTTTGAATTTCTCAAGTCCCTTTCAAATCTATCAGCTGTTTTATGCAATGCATTATTTTTACTGATTTTTAAAAATTGCAAAATAACTAAAAAGCAAAGTTCACCAACATCTGTGAAATACGTAAATCACAAATGTGTTTGAATAATTACCCTCCACATAATAAGGTATATTCTTTGGCAGACTTACAGATACCTTTCTGTAAGGGTCACAGACAAACCTTTCAATTCATATTCACAGGCTACATTTCTTCTGGAACATCACTCCAGGTTTTCAGCACAGATATGTA